TGGAAATTTTGAAGAAGGAAAGACTACAATCATATTTTTGATTATTTCCAACGTTTCTTTCGTTACAAACGAAAAGAATTAATGTTGAAAAGAAAATGGCGATATCTTTGCCTGTTTGAATTTGAAAAAAATATTTCCTGATATTTCGCTCAAGGATTGTGCCACTTACGATACGTGATAAATTCGACGAATGAAACTTGTATTCGAAACTTAAATCCAATTTCCCAGAATGTTAGACGGGCGTCTGCCTCGGCTTCGATAATATTCAAACCGTTTGCGGGTACATTTATGCTTCGATTATCGATATCTTGGCCGGTGTATCTCATTGGAAGCGCGTAATCGAAAGCTTTACGCGACAATGTCGAGCCAGTATCTCCTCTCAAAGGCTGTGAAACGCGTTTTCGAGATTCAGATTGCCTTCCTTCCATCCCGCCCCACCCACGATATCATTCGATGAATCGTGATTAATTAACGTGTCTCATTCGTACGCGTGCTGGCTTCGAGGAATTTTACACGAGAGATTTACGGTGGCAGAGAAATTGGCAGGATTTTTACCATAAATTTCCCCACCTCAATCGTCTCGCCGATATTTTCCACTTGTTCGAATTTGAATAGACGCAGGCAAATGATTCTTATGAATCTTGATTTCTCACCTTTGGACGCCTTTCTTTAAAACGTTATTTCGTAATTGCTGTTTTTAATAAAAATGGAAAGATCATCTTTCGAAATTGTCATTCCAATTTATGGAATTTCTTTAGTGTGAATCGATCGAAGGAAAATTTCTTAGCCTTTTTCGTACAAGTGGCAACTTCTTTTATCATGATTCTGAGTCAAACATTCGTTCGAGGATTTGTAGAATAAAATTAGTACAAAATATAAAAAAAAGTATTAAAATTGAGAAAATTTTCGAAAAACTGATCGAATCGAATCGTGTGCTTTGATGTTGAAACTCGGACGAAGATTCTTATTGAAACGAACGATTGTGATAATCGTTGTGAGTATAAAAAAGGAATTCTGTTTCATCTCTAGATATATCGTGACTAATCTGTCGAAACAGCGCAACACGATCGTCGAAATTATTGCCAAAATAGGAACGTGCAAAGCCTCATCAACGATTCGTGGTCAATAAACGGGACGGTCCTGGAAACTCCATTATAATTAACACGTCCATAATTTATGAACAATCCCCGGGGCAATCGAGAGTCCACCGTTGGTCCCCCCACCGCTTCTCCGTCCACTGGTCTCCCCGTCGATACAACTTGTCTTTGCGGATATTAATACGATCTTTCTTATTTACGTTTCCTCTTTTCCCTTCCACTTTGTGCCATTGTCATCCCTTTGCTTCATTTATCCTTTATTATGTTATTCAATACATCGTACGCTTGAGCAAAGCAATTTTTTTCTTTTTTTTAACCAACCAAGTTTTCACAGACATTTATTACGTTTATTATTAATTAATTAAATCACCATGATTTTCGATTATAATATATTTCGATTTGAAATTTTCGAGAATAAAAGTAGCGAGTTTAGCGAGGAAAAAAGAGAAGAAGAAAGAAATTTGTGGTAGTAATCTTGATTGACCAAGGATCAGGGGGGAATCAGGAGGAGGGGGGGGGGGATATTCGTCAACTTCTGTGCGTGCACGCTGGTCAACAATCTGTAAATCAAATTCCACGTTACGCTCCTCTGGTTCTCTTTGCCGCTCGTTTCTTTCTTCCGATTTTGTTAACATGTAATAAAATTTCCCTCTTCAGTTGAGCTGTTGAATTCCCTGGTTCAAACAGCGGGCCTCGATTGTACTTCTATGCGAGCTCGATTTACACCACCCTGGAAAACAAATCCACTTCTAACGTACGGGCTTTGCCAATGCACCCTCCTCCTCCTCCTCCTCCCTCGCCCATTTTTGTTCCATTCCACGAAAATTTTTTTCAATAGTCCTCCCAGCCATACAATCGTCGTGTCGTGTTACTTTTCAAAGTTCAATGAAAATTTCCTAGTTTCGAATATATGTGTGAAAATGGAAGAAGAGGAAACAGGGATCGAGTAGTAGTACGAGTACGTCATTGGTCAGACAGGATTTAATTTTCTTATTTTCACTTGACGTTTGATAATCATTTCAAAGTAATGTTATTGCAATATCATTTATTTTCACGATGTTTTTTTTTTTTTTTTAGAATTGGATCGATTTTGTAGAATACGAAGAATTCGAATAATAACTAGAAGAATTTATAATCGATAACGTTTTCAATCAGTTAGAAAAGTAGCGATAAATATAGGAAAATTAATTTATATCGGATTGTAAACAAAGTTAATGATCGAGCGTAAAATTTAAATTTATTTTACGATCTTTATTTGCTATTGTGTCATTCGATCGATCGTCTATTACTAGTCACATGACTAGTTCCACGTATACGTGACTTTCAACTGTTTTTCGGTCTCTTGCTTTTCGGTGGAAAAATCGCAATTTTTAGAGAACGAGATCGATTAACGTGGCTTGTAATCGATAGCATTCGCACCGAAGCGCTTCCGGCAGGAGGAGCATCATGGAGGAATTAGTTCCCGATGAAATACGGATCCGATATCGTCGATATTTATTTGTATTGTTTTTGTTACGGGTAAGAAACGAGCCAGCCAACTTTTTACGTACACTTTTCTCTCTCTCTCTCTCTCTCTCTCGCCATAAAGTGAGGATATTACTTATTAATTACGAAAGTTTTCTTATAGCTTTGAAAAGAAACAGGAAATACGAGCTTTCTTCTTTTTTCCCTCTCCTCTTTTTTCAATCGAAAATAATCGTCGTATATTGCAAAGAAGAAAGGAAAAGACGTTCGTTTCGGCGGGCCAAAGTTCGAACAAAATTCAACGGCAATTCTCTATTCTAAATATTTTGAATTAAAATCAAAACGAAATTTCAAAAACGAAAATTTCCTCTACCCTTTCATCGAAATATCATTCCATTTCTCGTTTTCTCGGATTAACTCGAGATCCCAATCTCTCGAAAGCGTTCAGAGATCGAAAAAAAAAAAAAAAAACACCAAACGAAGCACAGTTCCTCCCAACTTGCCCCTCCCATCTTCGTCTTCGAAACTTCCCCCATAACCCACTTCCGCGCCATCTATAATTCA